GAAAAAACAGCCGGGGGGGCCTAAACCATTAAAAAAGGGTTTAAAAAGTTGAGGAAAAAAGGAGGAGGGGAAAAATCATGCACGGGCCCCAGGTGGAAAACCCAACAAAAGTAAGGGGGGAAGGCAAATTTAAAAGTGTGGGGAGGACTTAAAAGGCTTTTACGTAAAAGAAAGGGGGAAAACACGGGAACCTGAGGGGATCATGACAGAAATTTAAAAGGGGGGGGGGGAATCGGGGTTGGGGAATTGGTTGGTACTTTTTTTTTTAAAAAATTATGAAAAAAGGGGAAGGTCCCCGGGTTTGGGCAGGGGAACATGTAGGTCCCTTTAAAAAAAGGGGGAAAGGGGGAAACAAAAAAATTTTTAAAAATTTAGGGGAAATTTAATTTTACGAAAAAACCGGGAAAAGTAAACTAGTTATAATTGAAAGAATTAGGGGAAAAGACAAATGTAAATTTGGGATGACAAGGGGGCTTCAGAGGGGGTTGGGGGATGGTAGATAAAGGGGTTTAAAATGAAGCATATAGTAAACCATATTTAGATAAAGGTAGGGAATTTTTTTGTATTTATGGATTTAAAAAAGGGCCCAAATAGAGGGTTTAGAGGGGGCAATGTGGAAAGATGTTGGAATTTATGGAATAGGGGGTAATTTTCAAATGCTTTTAAAGACTTTTATGAGGATAGGGGAGGCTCAGGTTGGGGTGGTAAAGAGAGGGAGAATATTTCCCCGGTAAAATAGGTCTTAGACAGGGATTTTGTAAGGGTCACCATGGTTGTTTAATATATTTAAAAGATGGGGTTTTTAAAAGAATAAATGCCCAGGGTGTTTTGGGAGAGGGGGGGGGGATTAAATTATGGGGAATCAAATTCAAAAAAAGGGGAAATTTACACAGTTTTTCTTTTTGCTGAAGAAACTGTTCTTATGGGGGAAATTTTAAAGAAAAAATTTCAAAGGGTTAAATGGATGAGTTTGAAAATGTGGTAAAGGTAGAAAGTTGAAAAATGAACATGAAAAAAAATAAGGTTTAAGAGGGGAAACAAAAGATTTAGATAAAAAAAAAAAAAAATTTTCCAAATTGGGGGGGAGGGGTAAGGAAAAGGAATGTTTTTAGATACTGTACTTGGGGGTTTACGTGTCCGGGGGATTTAATTTTTGAAGGGTGAAGGGTTTAAAATAAATTGATGAGGGAAAAAAAGGGGAGTGGTGCATTGAGGTTAAAGGGAGTCAAAAAAAAGTTTTCTATTGGGGGGCAAAGAAGGGAATGTATGAAAGTATGTAAATAACCCCAAAAATCTTTTTAGGAAGTGAAAACTTGGGGGGTAAATGCCCCAGCGAAAGGGGACGGTTTGGGGGGCAGTGGAGATGTCCTGTCCCAGGGCAATTGGGGGGTGTAAATATTTTTGCAGAAAAAATTCCGGGGGTGTTGGGAAAATTTGGAGAAGGTTGGAGTTAATAAAAGTATTAGTCAGAGGGGAGAAGAGGGGTTTTGGGTGGTTTTGGTCAATTTAGAGAGAATGGATCAAAGTAGAAAACATGGAAAGCATATAAAAAAAATAGGGGAAGGAAAGGGGTAGGGTCGTCCTCGAAAAAGGGGTTGGGAAAGGGGGTAAAGGAAAGGGGTTTTTTTGGGGGAGGGGGTTGGACTTCCAGCAAACTGGGATAGCGTGTTAGATAGGAAAAGGAAAAGGGGAAAGAAAATACTTTGGGGGCCCGAAAATCGTTGGAGTGTGAAACAGGGTAAAATTTGTGAAGGGGTTTTGGGGAAAAAATTTTTATTTTCATATAAGGGGGGACCCTTTAGTCCTGGGAAAAAAGGGAAATACAATGCCCCGCCCCTTTTAAAAGGGGGGGTTTGGGGTATTGGGAGTTTTTTAGGGGAAAAGTTTTGTAAACTTTATTTCTTTTATGCTTCTAAACATTTAAAAGGGAGGGATGGACACGGGGGGCGTCCCACAGTTAAATAAAAACAACAGACATAGCCCCACTCCACAAAGGGGGGCATAAAGCAACAGCAAAAAAACTACAGACCGATAGCATAACATCCCCTAACATAAAAATCTTTGAAAGGGGCCCCAAGAAGCTAGATCACCACCCATCTAGAAACCCATCAGTTTCACAACCCCCCGGGCAAAAATGGATTTAGAACAGGTCGCTCCTTCTGTCTCAAATTTGGAAACACTTTTGACAAGGTCCTAAAACACTAAAGACAAAAAGAAAGCGGATGTAATATAAACAGACTTTGCAAAAACCTTCGACAAGGTGACCAAAGGGGGTAATAGCCCAAAAAAGCGTGCTTAAAGGGAAAAACAGGAAAAGTTTGGGCAATGGATCTATAAAAATTTTCCCCACTAACAAAACACAGAGAGAAGTCATCAAAAATAAAGTCCCAGCAGCACGGTGAAAAGCTCTGTTCCCCAAGGCCCCGTAACCCCCTCTTTCCCCTCTTTTCCTCATCCTCATATCCGACATAGACAAGGGGGTCAGGCCCCCACACCGTTCTTCCTTTGGGAGATTAACCCCCCGAATCTGCATGACAAATTCCTCCATTGCAGACACTGCCCGGGTCCAGGGGGGACCCTCAACCAAATCTTTCAGTTTGGGTGCATAAAACAATATGAAGTTCAACGATGAAAATTTCAATTTTCTCAATATGGTAAAACCCAGGGAAAAATTAAAAACTTTATCAGGGGACAAAACAAATTTGGCCACAAAATGGGGCGAAAACAAACCAAAAAGTCAAAGACCCGGGGTTGATCATGTAGGAGGATCTCACCTTCAAGGACCATAACATTGTATCAATTGCATCTGCTAGAAAAATGACAGGATGGATAATGAGAACCTTCAAAACTAGGGAGGCCAAGCCCATGATGACACTCTTCAGGTCACTTGTTCTATCTAGGCTGGAATATTGCTGCACACTAACAGCACCTTTCAAGGCAGGTGAAATTGCTGACCTAGAAAATGTACAGAGAACCTTCACGGCGCGCATAACGGAGAAAAAAACACCTCAAATACTGGGAGCGCTTGAGGTTCCTAAACCTGTATTCGCTGGAATGCAGGCGGGAGAGATACATGATTATATACACCTGGAAAATCCTAGAGGGACTAGTACCGAACTTGCAAACGAAAATCACTCACTACGAAAGCAAAAGACTTGGCAGACGATGCAACATCCCCCCAATGAAAAGCAGGGGTGTCACTAGCATGTTAAGAGACCATACAATAAGTGTCAGGGGCCCGAGACTGTTCAACTGCCTCCCAGCATACATAAGGGGGATTACCAACAGACCCCTGGCAGTCTTCAAACTGGCACTGGACAAGCACGTAAAGTTGGTTCCTGACCAGCCGGGCTGTGGCTCGTACGTTGGTTTGCGTGCAGCCAGCAGTAACAGCCTGGTTGATCAGGCTCTGATCCACCAGGAGGCCTGGTCACAGACCGGGCCGTGGGGGCATTGACCCCCTGAACTCTCTCCAGGTAAACTCCAGGTAAGCACTACACATACGTGTACAAGCATATACATATACACACCCCTCTGGGTTTTCTGCTATTTTCTTTTTAGTTCTTATTCTTGTTTGTTTCCTCTTATCTCCATGGGGAAGTGGAACAGAATTCTTCCTCTGTAAGCCATGCGTGTTTTAAGAGGCGACTAAAATGCTGGGAGCAAGGGGCTAGTAACCCCTTCTCCTGTATATATTACTAAATGTACAAGGAGAGACTTTGTTTTTCCTTTTGGGTCGCCCCACCTCGGTAGGATACGGCCGGTATGTTGAAAGAAAGAAAGACACCACACACACACACACACACACACACACACACACACACACACACACACACACACACACACGACCAACATCACACCCCTTACACCTACAGCCCATATGGAGTCACCACACAGTGAACCCACACCACACACGTGAAAAACACAAGACACAGCAAAGGCAACAAGACTACCCACACAACCAAACATCCACAGGAGAGGTAAGGAAACAACCACACACACACAGACAGATGGGGGACAATAACGAAAACACAAAATACGACAGAAATACAAGGACACACACATTCAGAATTACCACAGTCAACAAGGAACATTGGACCTGTAACACAGATGAATCAGGGATGTTAGTATGGACATTTCTCAACCCAGACCTAGCCAGACGTGGAATAGTTTGGGAAATGTAGTGGAGGAGGTTTGCAACAAGCTAAGCCAGAATAAAGCTATGCCTACGAGGAGGGGTTTGACCTAGTAGGACAGGAGAGAAGGGGGGCCAGGAATGACTGACAAAATACTGGAGAGAAACTTAAAGGTGGACAAAGACAGACCACAGAACACAGACAAGACACAGTGGAAGCAACACACAGATGAATCACACGATTTAGGAAGTACTCACCACAGATAGTCACAAGTGAAAGACACAAGTACAGAAACCATACATACAACAGAGAAAAACACACGCTCAGACAACCAACATCAGGAAGACGGCAACACACTCACCCGCACACCAACAGTAGTACAACAATACACACACACACACACACACACACACACACACACACACACACACACACAAAACACACACACACACACACACACACACACACACACACACACACACACACACACACACACACACACACACACACACACACACACACACCAACCAGTGAATGAAAACTGACAGGTGAAGACCCTGAAGGCATTGAAACAGCTGGTAAATATGAGGAAAGAAGATGGGTGTTTTGCCCTGCACAAAAGAATTAAATATCTTGGGTGGAAAGGGCACTGCCCAGAAATTTCGTATACATAATTTAAAAAATGGGATTTCACTTGAATGATAATTTGCAGGCTTGCTTTAACTGTTGTGCACATCCTAGAATGTATGATCTATGCATGAGCCACTCTGCTGAGCTGAAAGAGAGGGCAAGTTGTTGCAGTTTGGATAATTATAATTTATTTATAATACTTATTGATATACAGTATGATGTAATTTTTTGTAGGTACCTCTGATGCTACATTTAGGAACAAGTGTTGATACGCCACTTGGTTTCCTCCTCTCCAAGCCTTTCACCAGACAAAGGGTGGACATAGCAAAGTTTATGATTGACAAAGGTTGGTATGTATATCAAGTAGTACTATTACAGTTTTTAAATGCAGATAGTGAATTTGTAACAATTTGAAAATGCTCTTTACACATTTTATATTCTCTCGTGTCTCATATTTAAGAGAGAGTACAGTAGGGCCCCACTTTTCGGCGTTTTGCCTTACAGCATTCAGCTAATACGGTGATCTCAGATTATGACCAAAACTTTCTATACAGCAAGTGGTTTTTCATATAGGGCACGGGCCACCTGGTTTGTTTACATTCTTCATGAGCACATCTCTCTATTATGTAATAATAATCACTCTTGGGCACATTAAATGTCTAATTTTACATCTATATAGACATTTTCATTAATCCATCTATGATATTTTCTTCAAAATTATATAAGAAACATGTTACATAGCATATAAACATGCTATTTATATGCTATGGAGATGTGGTTGCCAGGTTGAGGGAAACCATTACATAATACTAATAATAATTACTCTTCGGCACATTAAATGTCTTATTTTACGTTAATATAGACATTTTCATTAATCCATCTATTATATTTTCTTCAGAATTATATAAGAAACATGTTACATAACATATTAACATTTTGTTTATATACTATGGAGGTGTGGTAGTCGGGCGAAGGGAAAACATTACGTCACTCCCCTTAATACATAATGCTTTTGTTTACAATTCATTGCTTGAATTATTCATTACTTCTCCCTTTGTTTATGATGACATCTAAAGGTAGTTGTTAGAAACGATTAAACTCGGTGAACATGGTATGTCGATGGTAATAATATGGTTCTGGGCCACATTAAATATCGTGTAGGTATGTAGCCCAGGCGGACTACATACCTACATTATTATCATAACTGATAATTATACGTATAGGCACCTGTACCTAAGTAAACCTACACACTGTGCTGACATGCAGGTACACATTAAAATTACTAAGAGTGTCTTATTAGTCTTGAAGATGCCACATTAATGATAATAATAACACAATAATAATCACTCTAAGGAGCATTAAATATCGTATAAAACGTTAATATAGACATTTTGCTTAATCCATCTAAATACACCCCACAGTAGAATAAATTAACATAAATATGAGATGTGGTAGCCAGGTGACTTGTAGGACTTGTGGTAGCCAGGCAACTTGTGGTAGCCAGGCAACTTGTAGGACTTTTGGTAGCCAGGCAACTTGTAGGACTTGTGGTAGCCAGACAACTTGTAGGACTTGTGACAAAAGCCAGACGTGGGGAGGGCTGCTCTTCCTGGCTACCCATACTTCCCAACCTGACTTCATACAAATATAACTCACCTCTCACCCTATATTAACACTACAAATGTTTTAAGGTAATTGATGAGTATACTATATATACATTTTATGCTCTAGGGAGCTTAATGTCGTAGTAGATATAAGTGGCCCGGCAGGATGCCGTACCTCCCACACGACTTTCTACAAATAAATACTTTTCACCTCTCACCCTACATTAAGACTACAAATATTTTAAGGTAAGTCTACTGTATATGCATTTTATTGCTCTAGGGAACTTTAAGCATCGTAGTATAGTATGTGTGGGGTGGGGCGGCCAGGAGGGCTACCACACCTGACTTCTTAGAGTAAATACTACACACCTTTTGCCCTACATTAAGACTACAAATATTTTGAGGTAAATAATGAGTGTACTGTGTGTGTATTTTACTTTTTAATGCCTAGTTATACTGCTAACTTAATATATGTTAGTGTAAACTTGTTTATCTGGCATTTATATGCATTTATAAATGGAAAAATGGAGTTCTGCTTTCCGGTGAAGTCTGCTTTCCGGCAGTAGCCTGGAACCTAACCTGCCGAATAAATGTGGCCCTACTGTATTGTGGCTCACTGTGGAGCATCATGGCATGAGGAGTCCCTGTTATATACAGTAAACCCTTGCTAAACATGTATATTATTTCCTTAACATTGACATATTGGGTGAAATAGTGTTACATGAAGTGAAGAACACATGGAAAAAATATGGTTATGTTCTGGACAGCTTCAAATTTGCCACTCAGTTTTTTCTTTTGTACTACTTAGAAATTAGTACTGTATAGCTTATCTCACATTCTATAAGTTAATGATTTTTCTTAAAACTCTGCCATATAGCAATAAACCTTCAGTGATAAATGCATTTGCTAGTCAGAATTGAGAAAGCATAGTAATAAAAAAAATGTGAAAGGCAGTATCTGCTGGGCAACCTTAGAACATGTAATCATCATAATAAAAGCCACATTTCTTTACCAAATTATACCAAACAAATGAACACTACACTTACACCAGACAAACATGTATTGAAGATGAATGCATTTGGTAAAATAATAACCAAGGAAAAATGCAGTAATACTGTAATAAAATGGTGTTTGGGGAAAGTGGGGGCTGTGTTAGGGAAAATGTTACAAAAGCTGCTGACCCTGGCTTTGGCTCCCAGCAGTATTGTGATATGGCACATTTCTTTATCTGACTTTAATATGCAGTGGACCCATGGTTTTCAGCTGGTGCAGAAATCGTACACTTCGGATTTTGAGCACTTTTTTTGGCAAAATTTCCCCCTGGGTTTTGTACATCCCCTCGGAAATCATTGGTACCAGATGCATGCACCTGGGCCACTCATACGTTCGTGACTCTCTCTTGGGCACATTAAATGTCTTATTTTAGGTTAATATAGACACATTCATTAATCCATCTATGGCATTTTCTTCAAAATTATGTAAGAAACACTTTACATAGCATATAAACATGCAGTGTTTATATGCAGTGGAGGGTAAACATTACATTTTCTCTGGTCCAGCATTAAAGAAAACTGTATGAATCTGTATTGGCCCAGTAACCACCCTTTAAACAATAGCTTTTGTTTATAATTCTCAGCTTGAATTATTCATTACTTCTCTATTTGTTTATGATGGCATTTAAAGGTAGTTGTTAGAAATGATTAAACTCAGTGAACATGGTATGTCAATGGTAATAATATGGCTGTCGGTCGCAGTGTATGTAGACGGTAGGTATACACTGGGATGTAGTCTGCCTGGGACTACAAATAAGTACTACTCACAAGCAAGAGTCTTCAATAAAGGTATGTAATGTTCATTTATCATTAAAATTACTCATTTATATTTATTTCTCATTGTTTTCTGTATGTAAAACTACAGTTATTCTCTATAAAATGTATTTTTTGTTAATATTTTTGGGTGTCTGAAACTGATTAATTGGATTTACATTATTTCTTATGGAAAATATTACGTTGGTTTTTGGCCATTTCAGATTTTGGCCAACCTTCTGGAATGGATTAATTATGAAAACCGGAGGTCTACTGTATATCTGAAGTGTTTGTACAACTTTTATTCCACTTATGCAACATATGGGAATCTTTATTGACGAAGCCACTGTGTGGCAAAACATTTCTTCAGTAAAGATTCCCATATGTTGCATAAGTGTCTCAATTCTTTAGCTTTTTGGTTTTCAAAACCATTCATCACAACTTTTATTCCATATGATCTATGCAAGAGGGGTTGATAATGTCATGTATAATTCAAGAGAAAGAAGGAAAGAATCATCAGCTGTATACTGCATGGTTTGGTTTTAGCAACACCAGAGTCAGTAGGGGATTGAGGAAGTGAATATGTATATCCCTCCATTTCCTCTCTCAAAATATCACTGTTTTCTTAAGTGGCCAGGGTTTCTACTGCCAAGAGCCTTGCTCTGTTATTTGGGAAGCCAACTGACTGTACTTCTCTACACAATTTTTTGTTTAATAGTGTTTTCACTCTATTATTGATTAACATGTTCAACATTTGTAGACATACAACTAGAGGATACCTATAAAAGACATGGAATGCATACTTAGTATATTTATAGTACTCAGCTTTTGTGAATGCTCTATAATAATGCACTGAATATTCTCTTCAAACTTTATTGTTGTATGTTTTATACTAAGCATTTATAAATTACATTGTTATGGAAAAACCCTATCTGGTGTATATGGCTTGCTCTTGTTTATCAAAAACAGCAGGAAACTGCACAGCTTGTGGACATAAAGCTGTTAGTGAGCAATTTAAAAAATCCACTGAGTATACTATTCAAATTTTGTGGGTTAATCTGTTTTAGACTAATGGAGAATAATTTTAAGAATTTCCCTCGCTGTCAATTTTTGTTGTTGCTTATTTTGAATCCTGTTGCAACCAAATTGCACAGTGTGAAGTAATGTTGCTAGAGGAATTACTGTATATAATTAATGCTGGATAACCTTAGGATAGTACTGGAATACTGTTCATAACAGTTTATATGTATTGTTGCTCTTATCTGTATTGTTTCTCATAATTTTCTTGTTAACCCTATCATTTTTCCTTCAGGAAGTAGTGTTAATGCCGTGACTAGAGAGTGCCTACCTCCTCTAGTAGCTGCTGTCAAGCACCAACGCATCTCCTACAGTGAGGGTGCTCTTGGCTCAGAGGTTGTGCAATATCTACTTAACCATGGTGCAGATGTTATGTATAAAATGAGGTGCCTTTTTCTTATTTTGTTAGCATTTTGTCCTATACATTTTATTTTAACACTGGCCATCTCTGATTGAGATAGGGTGACTCGAAAAAGAAGAAACACTTTCACCAGCATTCACTCTATCACTGTATTGCCAGAGGTGTGGTGATAGTACAGTTGAAATGTCCCTCCAGACTGCAAATATCCCCACCCTTTCAGAGTGCAAGTATTGTACTTCCCACCCTCAGGACTAAAGTCTTGTTAACCAGTTTCCCTGAATCACTTCATAAATGTTACTTTATTCACACACAAAGAGGACATCACGTCACAAAATATCTCTTGCCCCTTTCTAACACACATGCACATGCTGATTGGCATGTGCAGCATGTTTAATAATGACTTTGTCAAAAAATAGAGAGAACATATCACAAAATACTTATGTAACATACAGTAAGTGATGTGGAGAAATATCTCCAACAGGGAGGTGAGAAGCATTAGGGGGCAGTGACCCCTCTTGTAAGGGGGCTGTGACCCCTCTTGTCCTGACATGAGACGAGATGTGGAACAAGGGTGTTTTGGGGATCAAATATGTACACCGAAGCAACGGCTCTCATCTTGCACGTATTCCTTACCAAGCATAATTAGACTGCATTGGCCATAAGATAAGGTGCACATGCCAGACTGGGGCATGGACCTGATGCCTTACTCTCCTGCTCCTCAAAACTTGCGTAATGTATCTAACAGTGCTTGCTCAAGTAAACTCCTGTTTTTTAGCCTTATTCATATTAAGTAGAAATAAACTCTTTGTATAATTAATTAGCTAGTAAGACTCATTTAATGTGAAATGCTTCAGTATCGGGGAAATCAGTTCCTTGACTCAACCACATAGTGTTGGCTGGCATCCATGCTTTTCAGACTTTGTCAGCATTATTACTCCAATGTAAAGAGGCGTGGATGCTGCCAAGGGGCGTTTGGCTGTCTCTGGTTGTCTGTTTGTCTCTAGTAGGTAAGATCAATCCAAGTGAGCAAGTACCCTAGCTGAATTTACCGACGTTCACACAGCGTTATTCGTGGTCAACTGTATAATCTTCATGTTGCTTATTCATGCTAGAATGATCATTAAGGAGAACTGACGCAAAGACACAGTGTTGAAGTTTCATTGGTTATTATCATTGCTAAATGAGGTATCACTAGTGTTCTCCCTACCATGAACATTAAAAATGGACATATTACCGGTGACGAGTGAAACTCATGAACAAGTGATAGCAATTTGAGTGGTGTTGAAACAGTTCGAAAGTACATAGCATGTTGAATGGACTAAGCAAACAATAACACTAGTGTGACCGACACACTATCCCTGTGTTACTAAACGATTATCCAATGTCACTGTTATATAGATAGCAGTAGAATTGTGACCAGGGAGTATACTCTAGCTTTTGAATGCAATTTTTGTGAAAGATGAGCTGTGATGATCTGTGAAGGTATCCCTGGTTTAACTTAAGGCCTGTTGTGGAGACTTGAATGCTATACACAACACCATAACAAATGATGCTCATCTGTCTTGTAAGTATGTACCAATTTTTGTTGGGGTAAAGGGGGTAAAGGAGGTATTGTGTGCAAGGAGCTTGTACATCCAACAGGCATATACATGTGTAAGCATGTTAGACAGGAGTGAGTGGAGACATGTAATTTTTATAACTTGATGTGCTGTTGGAGTGTAAGCAAGGTAACATTTATGAAGGAATTCAGGAAATATGGTTAGTCCTGGAGGTGGGAAGTACAGTGCCTGCACTCTGAAGGAGAGGTGGGAATATTTGCAGTTTGGAGAGGCATCTGAACTGTAGTATCAGTGTGCCTCTGGCAAGACTGAGAGAATGAGTGTTGGTGAAAGTGTTTCTTCATTTTCAGGTCATTTTACCTCAGCGGGAGACATCTGGCATGTTAAAAGATATAATATTAGTTGTAATATAGTATTATGTGACAAGTAAGTAATGTTTTGAGTGGTTCTGATAAATAGAAAAATCAGGTCTGGTTTCATGGACTAATATCTGTGTCTTGAGGATCCACTGCATATGCACCTACCATCCGAATTACGACTGAGCTTGCTTCCGACCAACCGGTCGTAAGTCGAAATGTACGCAAGTCCAAAAACACAAACAGTTGCTTATTTGCGTGCAAAACACTTGTATGCACGAAAAAATTCGTATGCATGAACAGAAAAGTACAAAATAACTTAAGCTAAGCTGTAAACAGTACGGTCGTACGGTCGTAAGTACGAGTGGTCATATGTCGAGCAGGTCGTAAGTAGGATGATAGGTGCATTAGTCAAATAAAAGTAGTGCCTTAAATAATGACATCAACAAGTGCTGCTTTGCATGACAAGTTCTCTAGCTGACGAACAGATCTTTCAACCTATCCACTTGTAACCTTTGTTGATTAGTTATACAGGTCGGCCATCACTAATCCGGCATCATTGGGACCTGTAATGTGCTGGATTAGTGAGTTTGCTGGATTGCAGAGTGGTTAGGTTAGAATACACTTAATTAACCCCTTGGCTGTCGCAACCCCAAATCCTGAGGTGTCTCCTGGTGTCGAAAAATTTTTGAAAAAAAAAAAAAAAATATTTTTTCTTAGGAAATGATAGAGAATCTTTTCCTGATGGTAATGACGCCAAGAATGAAATTTGATGGAAAACTTACGGAATTACGCTCTTGCGAAGTTTGCAACCTTGGCGATATTTACGAATTGGCGATTTCGCCCACTTTGAGCCCTATTTTCTGCTAATTCCATTGTTCCAGTTGACCAAACTCATAGCTATTTCGTTAGAACTCCATTTTTTCTATTGATTGAGTACAAGAAACTGCCTATTTACCGATTTCAACTACCCAATGACGTGGTCAGAAATTTGCAATTTGGTCAATTTCATGCAAATAAAAAATAGGCCAGTTTCAAAGTAGGGTCCAGAATGAAAAATGCAGACATTCCTGGCTCTAAAATAACATTTTCTTTGTTCATCAGTCATGTCTCCAGGCCCCTACTATATTACTCTTGCTTTCTGTTTTGAATTTTTATTCAACCAAAAAATAGAAGATTTACTGTTATGCAGACTACTGCAATATTGTAATAATTGTATAAATAATGTCAACCCATTCATGACTGCATATTAGAATGGCTAGTTAGACATTTATTGGACAATGACATAATTTGTTTACTTTTGAACATCAGCAAAAATCAAACATTTCCCCTACTTTGAGCTCCATTTCAAGGTTCTTTTCATAGTAAAACCAATCAAAATCACCTCTATTTCTATAATATGTTTTCCATTTTATCAAATGAGACCAAGAAAACGAGAATACAACCATAAATACTATACGAAAATATACCGCAAAGTCGGCGTTTTAATCCAAAAACACGGTCGGAGTTTTTTTTTTTCTCATTATGCACTGCGTGCTGCAGGATTTTTTTTATAAGGTGCACACTGACCACACAGACCCATTCTCTCACATGTGGGCCTACCAGCTTTCTCCTGCTTGATTTGAAGCCGCTAGAATTTTTGAGTGTATATATGTCAAACACAGTGGCTCGTAAGACGTGTATATATACGACCGAAAAAGTCAAAGGGTTAACCTATCAATAGAGAGACTGCTACATCTTTCTCATTTTCATGACTCCTTTCTCCTCCACTGGCTTGCTTCTGTGGATTTACAACCATCTGCACAATTTCTGAGTCAGAATAATGATGAAATTTGAGTCAATATAATGATGAAATTTGAAATTATGCTAACCAGAATTAGTGCTGGATTACTGATGGAGCCGGATAACTGATTGCCAGATTAATGATGGCCAACCTGTATGTGATTCCTTTTCCAGGAAGGTTTTCATTTCCTTATAGTTAGAAATAATCCTTTTTTTCAATGTAACATCAGCACCTACATTTTCATCACATTATTTTCCTTGCTTTGTGTAGCAGTTATAAACATTTCTGACTTACACAATGACTACTGCTTTTTTTATTTATTTATTTATTTTTTTTTTTTATTTGGACATGATATATAGTTATACAAAGAAATATAGTGATTGGGTGTACATGCCAAAAGCCCCTTGTATGCAGAGAATTATGGGCAGGCTTAAAATTAACTTAAGATTAACTAAGCAATGATATATTCAGTGGTAAAAATTACAGTAAACAAATTACAACATGAAATACAAATGAGTATTTCAAATAAGAAGCATTAAAATTGTACAAATTTGTAGCATAACAATGTATAATATAATCGAATTAAATCGAGTAAAATCAATGATTTGTAGTGCAGCAACAGGTCATATGGTCATTAGATGAGTTACTGTGCATTCAAGAGAATGGAGTATTCTATTAGGTAATGTAGTTAAAAAAACATAGTTTGATAGGGTCACAGGTTATACATTTATGAGATACAGTTATTCAGTATTTATTTAGTTGTGGTTGAGTAAGTTGTTTTTAAGAAGAGTCTTGAATTGATAAACAGACAGTATTTCTTTTATATTCACAGGTAATGAATTCCAGATTTTTGGGCCTTTGATGTGAATTGAGTTTTTACATAGTGTGAGATGGACACGGGGAACATCAATGAGTGATCTGTGCCTTGTGTTATGGTCATGTGTTCTGTTGAGGTTGGTGGGAGAAGTTTGAGAGGAGGGTTTATATCCGAGTTTAGTGTTCTATGTATGTAGTAGGCACAACATTAAGTATGGATGTTTTGTACGGTGAGTAAGTTTAGAGTTTTGAATATTGGTGGAGTATGCTGCCTGGAGTGGGAATTTGTTATCATTCTGACTGCAGCCTTTTGTTGGGTAATTAATTGTCTGAGATGATTTATTGTTGTTGAGCCCCATGCACAAATTCCATAGGTGAGATAGGGGTAAATGAGTGAGTGATATAGGGTCAGGAGGGCTGATTGTGGAACATAGTACTGTATCTTCGATAGTATGCCTACAGTCTTGGAGATTTTCTTGGAAATTTGTTGTACATGTGTTTGAAATATGAGTCTATTATCAAGGTGGATTCCTAAGAATTTTCCCTCTAAGCTTTGTGATAGGTGATCCATTTATCATTATGTTAAGAGGAACATCTGTAGTTCTGTTCCCAAACTGAATGTAGTAGGTTTTGTCAATATTGAGAGTAAGTTTGTTAATCATCATCCAGGTAGATATTTTCCGTAATTCGGTATTTACAGTACTGGCTAGTATGACTGGGCTTGGTTGAAAGAAGACGTATGTAGTGTCATCTGCAAATAGTGTGGGTTTGAGTAGTTGCGATGCATTTGGTAGGTCGTTTATGTAAATGAGAAAGAGAAGAGGGCCAAGGACGCTTCCCTGTGAGACACCAACTGTAATTGGCTGTGTGAAAGAGTTTGCTCCATTTGTGTACACATATTGGCTTCTGTTGCTAAGGTATGACTTTAGGTAGTTGAGGGAGTGCCCTCTTATACCATAGTGTGACAATTTTATGTGCAGCAAATCGTGGGCAACTGTATCAAAAGCTTTACATAAATCAATGAAGATCCCCAGTGGGACTTCTTTTTCCTCGAGTGCAGTGTATATTTGTTCTAGCATGTGTATAATAGCATCATTCATATTTTTATTAGGCCTGAACCCAAACTGACAGAGGTTGAGTATGTTGTGGGAGATGAGATAGGAATAGATTTGCTTATGAATTAGTTTTTCAAAGATTTTAGAGAGAGGGTGTAAGTTGGATATTGGCCTATAGTTATTCAAGTCTGCTTGATCTCCTTTATGTATCAGGGTGACCCTTGCTATTTTGAGAACTGTAGGGAAGGTAGAGGATTCGATGGATTTGTTAAAGAGTGTTGCATTTTGTCATTACATTATGAGCAGGCAGAGTTTTATTCTAGTATGGTATTGTAATTCTAACTTTTTCAAACATAGACCTTTTTAAGACCTATATAATACAGTAATATCTTAAGATTATTTTTTTTTTTTTTACAGTGAGAGTGATATTCTTCCTGTAGCACTGTATGTTTCATCTCTATTCAATGTGGTTGCCTTCTTCAAACTTTTGCAACAGGGCATGCCAGCTCATCAAGTGTTCAACCGCAGTGCTCTTGAGAAACTTAGTCATCACTATTCTGTCTCTGGGTAAGTGATGAAACGTGTCTCTGCATGTGTAATGATCAGTGATATATAATTTTTAAGTTAAGGTTTTTATCTTATAGGAAGGAAAGTTTTGAGAGTATGTGGTGGTAAATATTTGAAAGAGTATAACATAAGAAAGGAGGAACACTGCGACAGGCCTAGTGGCCCATGCTAGGCAAATCTAACTCGCACTCACCCACACCCACACATGTACTTGTCAATCTATTTTTACAGCTTCACAAGATTTTTGCTGCAATGATGCTACTCTGAAGTTCGTTCCACTCTTCCACGTTGTTTTCCTGTATCTTTTTCTGAATGCAAATTTTTCCATCTTAAACCCATTGCTACAAGTCCTGTCTTAGTTAGATATTTTTAGCACATTATTTATATCCCCTTTATTTATTTCTGTCTTCCATTTATACACCTCAGTCATATACCTTTAAATTCTACACTTTTCCAGAGAGTGTAGATTCAGTGCCTTCAATATATCCCCTGATGACTCCAGCCAGTCTTGGGTATTTGGGTTGCTCAGCAACTGAAATACATCTAGTTTGTAGAAACAACTTTCAACAACTGGGTGACTTGATAGTAGTTCAGGATGGATCGATTTGTCTTCTAAAGTTTGCTTTTCAAATTGTGAGCTGTGAATTATTTTAGCCAAAATATTATTGTATGGAATAGGTAGTAAGTTAGTAAATGCTGTAAAGAGTTTTTGATGATAGTGAGGCTCAGGTTAGGGTGTGTAGGAGAGAAAGATTACTTTCTGGTATAAGTAGGTCTTAGACAGGAATGTGTAATGTCACCATGACTGCTTAACATATATATAAATGGGGTTGTAAAATAAGTAAATGCTAGGGTATTGGGGAGAGGGGTGGGATTAAATTATGGGGAATGAAATACAAAATGGGAGTTGACACAGTTACTTTTTCTGATGATACTGTGCTTTTGGGAGATTCTAAAGAAAAGTTGCAAAGGTTAGTGGACGAGTTTGGGAGGGTGTGTAAAGGTAGAAAGTTGAAAGTAAACGTAGATAAGAGTAAGGCGATGAGGGTATCAAATGATTTAGATCAAGAAAAATTGGATATCACATTGGAGGGAGGGAGTATGGAAGAAGTGAATGTGTTCAGATATTTGGGAGTTGACTTGTCAGCAGATGGGTTTATGAAGGATGAGATTAACCATAGAATTGATGAAGGAAAAAAGCTAAGTGTTGCTTTGAGGTATCTGTGGAGACAAAAACGTTATCTATGGAGGCAAAGAAGGGAATGCACAAGAATATAGTGGTACCAACACTCTTATATGGGTATGAAGCATGGGTTGTAAATGCTGCAGCAGAGAGGAGGCTGGAGGAAGGGAGATGTCATGTCTAAGGGCAATGTGTGTTGTAAACATTATGCAGAGAATTCATATTATGGAAAATAGGAGGAAGGCTGAAGAGGGGCTGTTGAGGTGGTTTTGTCATTTAGAGAGGACGGAACAAGGTAGAATGATGTGGAGAGTGTATAAATCTATTGGGGAAGGAAGGTGGGGTAGGGGTTGTCCTCGAAAAGGTTGAAGGGAGGGGGTAAAGAAGGTTTTGTGGGTGAGGGGCTTGGGTTTTCGGCAAGCGTGTGTGAGCGTGTTAGATAAGAGTGAATGGAGATGAATGTTTTTTGGGATCTGACGAGCTGTTGGAGTGTGAGCAGGGTAATATTTTGTGAAGGGATTCAGGGAAACCAGTTAGCCAGACTTGAGTCCTGGAAATGGGAAATACAGTGCCTGCACTTTAACCCTTTGACTGTTGTGACCCCAAATCCTGAAGTGTGTGTCTATGTCGCAAAATATTTGAAAAAAAAAATTATTTTTCTTGTGAAATGATAGGGAATCTTTTCCCGATGGTAATGACACCAAAAATATGAAATTTGATGGGAAACTTAAAGAATTTCTTGGTGATACATACGCTTTGGAGATTTTGCCCACTTTAAGCCCTATTTTTGGCCCATTCCATTGTTCCATTCAACCAAACTCATAGCTATTTCTTTAGAACTCCATTTGTTTTATCGATTGAGTACAAGAAACCGTCCATTTACCGATTTCAACTACCCAATAAAGTGGTCAGAAATTGGCAGTTTGACCAATTTCATGCAAATTAAAAAAGATGCCAATTTCAAATTATGGTCCAGAATAAACAATGCAGACATTTCTGGCACAAAAATAACATTTTCTCTGTTCATTAGTTACATATCCAGGCCCCTCTTATATTACTCTTGCTTTCCATTTTGAATTATTACTCACAAAAAATAGAAGAGTTACTGTTATGCAGACTACTGCATTATTGTAAAAATGGTATAAATAATATCAGTGCACTTGTGAAAGAATATTAGACTCACTAATTGACGTGTATTGGACGCGTGGCGTGATTTGTTTTCTCTTGAATATCGGCAAAAATCGAACATTTCTACTACTTTGAGCTCAATTTCAAGGTCCCTTTCATTGTGAAACTAATCAAAATCATCTCCATTTCTGTAATATGTCTTCCATTCTGTCAAATGAAACCAAGAAAATGAGAATACAACCATAAATACTATACAAAAGTATACCTCAATGTCGGCGTTTTAATCCAAAAACATGGTCAGATTTTTTTTTCTCATGCACTGCGTGCAGCAGGATTTTTTTATACTGTGCACACTGACCACACAGACCCATTCTCTCACATGTGGGTCTACCAGATTTTTCCCGCCTGATTCAAAGCCGCTAGAATTTTGGCATATTAATATGTCTGAAACACTGGCTCTTAAGGTGTATATATACGACTGAAACAGTCAAAGGGTTAAAAGAGGGGTTTAGGATATTGGCAGTTTGGAGGGATGTCTAATGTGTTATATCTGAGCACCTCTGCAAAAACAGTGATTATGTATGAATGATGGCAAAAGTGTTGAATGATGAAAGTTTTTTCTTTTTGGGGTTTTCTTTCTCTTTGGGTCACCCTGCCTTGGTGGGATGCGGCTGTGTTAAAAAAAAGAAAATCAAATCTCATAAAAATACAAGCTAAACATACCTTGATAATCCATAATAACTCACTTTATTATAAAATATTTGTGTTTTAAGAATAGTCAGTTCATGCATTAAAATTACCAGTCCATACACATTAGCCAGAACTCTACTGGTACCCACACATTAGCCAGAACTCTACTGGTACCCACACATTAGCCAAACTCTCTTTGGGACCCACCATTAGCCAGAACTCTATTGGTACCCACTCATTAGCCAGAACTCTACTGGTACCCACACATTAGCCAGAACTCTATTGGTACCCACTCATTAGCCAGAACTCTACTGGTAACCCACTCATTAGCCAGAACTCTCTTTGGGACCACACCATTAGCCAGAACTCTACTGGTAACCCCACCATTAGCCAGAACTCTACTGGTACCCACTCATTAGCCAGAACTCTCTTGGTACCCACTCATTAGCCAGAACTCTATTGGTACCCACTCATTAGCCAGAACTCTACTGGTACCCACTCATTAGCCAGAACTCTACTGGTACCCACTCATTAGCCAGAACTCTACTGGTACCCACTCATTAGCCCCGAACTCTATTTGGGACCCACTCATTAGCCAGAACTCTACTGGTACCCACTCATTAGCCAGAACTCCTCGGTACCCCCTCATTACCAGAAACTCTACTGGTTACCCACTCATTAGCCAGAACTCTATTGGTACCCACTCATTAGCCAGAACTCTACTGGTACCCACTCATTAGCCAGAACTCTATTGGTACCCACTCATTAGCCAGAACTCTATTGGTACCCACTCATTAGCCAGAACTCTACTGGTACCCACTCATTAGCCAGAACTCTACTGGTACCCACACATTAGCCAGAACTCTACTGGTACCCACTCATTAGCCAGAACTCTACTGGTACCCACTCATTAGCCAGAACTCTACTGGTACCCACTCATTAGCCAGAACTCTACTGGTACCCACACATTAGCCAGAACTCTACTGGTACCCACTCATTAGCCAGAACTCTACTGGTACCCACTCATTAGCCAGAACTCTATTGGTACCCACTCATTAGCCAGAACTCTACTGGTACCCCCCATTAGCCAGAAACTCTCTTGGTACCCAACCCTTAGCCAGAACCTACTGGTACCCACTCATTAGCCAGAACTCTATTGGTACCCACTCATTAGCCAGAACTCTACTGGTACCCACTCATTAGCCAGAACTCTACTGGTACCCACTCATTAGCCAGAACTCTCTTGGTACCCACTCATTAGCCAGAACTCTACTGGTACCCACTCATTAGCCAGAACTCTACTGGTACCCACTCATTAGCCAGAACTCTGCTACTATCCATATAAAACATATCCAGTTCTTGTTTCTTTAAGCAGATATCTAGAACAGAGTTTTTGAGTTCAAATAAATTTGTTTTATGAAAACCAAAAGGGTTTTTACCATCTCATGCTTTTCCATTACCTGCTAAAAAATATGCTCTCATATAAATGAAAAAAACTAGGGTACCTGTGTAATCAAAGCTTGTATGTGCTGTGAGGGCTCTTGATCCAAGAAGAGCGCTCTTATATTCCTTGAATCTGGACTGCCCCCTTTCCCGGGTGTGCTTGTTTCCCTTTGGGGGCTCTTGAAAAATTTATTAGAAATCACATAAGTGGAAATGTGTGTTTTTTTTGGAGAAAGTATCAGTGTTCTAAAATTGTGTACTTTATAAATTTTTTTTTTTTTTAACAAGTCGGCCATCTCCCACCAAGGCAGGGTGACCCAAAAAGAAAGAAAATTCCCAAAAAGAAAATACTTTCATCATCATTCAACACTTTCACCTCACTCACACATAATCACTGTTTTTGCAGAGGTGCTCAGAACACAACAGTTTAGAAGCATATACGTATAAAGATACACAACATATTCCTCCAAACTGCTAATATCCCGAACCCCTCCTTTAGAGTGCAGGCATTGTACTTCTCATTTCCAGGACTCAAGTCCGGCTATTAAAAATAACCGGTTTCCCTGCATCCCTTCACTAAATATTACCCTGCTCACACTCCAACAGATCGTCAGGTCCCAAATACCATTCGTCTCCATTCACTCCTATTGAACACGCTCATGCACGCCTTCTGGAAGTCCAAGCCCCTTGCCCACAAAACCTCCCTTAACCCTTCCTTCCAACCTTTTCGAGGACGACTCCTACCCCGCCTTCCTTTCCCTACAGATTTATACGCTCTCCATGTCATTTTGTAAATATTTTTATTATTCTTGGCTTGAAGTCCTCTAGTTTTGGTCCATTGTTGTGATCATTACATTATTCATGCTCTTTGTAATGATACCCCGAAAATTTTCTTGAATTCATTGCACTGAAACTCTCTCTTGCATGTAGTAGTTAAGGTAGGGGGTACTGCTGTTATTGTGAGGAATATGACTAGTAATGGTAATCTTTTACAGATGCACATATGTTTGTCTGGTAGATCTTCCAGAGATACACCTAGCTTTTAAAATTCATACCATGCCTCAGCTGTTTTACTTATTATTTTCTTGTTTAAATTCAAAATTATTCTAAAGATGAACATGTAATAGTTTTTCTTGCTGGTTTTATAATTGTTCATTATTGTGGTGAGGACCACAAAAAATGTCAAAACGTTGAACTAATAAGTGCTTCACCAAATTCTGTTGTAGCAAGCATCTCAAGAATTAGTCAAGATAGTTTGTAGTTGACTTTCTATTGAGAGGACAGAAGAGATTTACTACACAAGAAATTGTTTTCACTGCAAATTATTTTTTTTTTTTCAGATTTTATACAGTATATTCTATGTTTCCTTGGCGTGTGATAACGTGGCTGCACACACTCAACTTATTCATCCCACAACTGGGATTGGATACGAGGCTTCTCTATGACCAAGGCAGAATGGTGGATGATGAAAATCTTAATAAAGCATGGAATAACTTGGACAACATTATTAGTAAGTATATATAGTGGACACTCCGTTTTTGTCGATCTCCGTTATCGCTGATTTCGGTTTTGGCTGACTTTCTTCGCTGATTTTTTGGCTCCGTTTTCATTAATCATACCGAACCTGTTCAGTGTCCAACACACAGACAAAGCCACCTCCCACAGGTATTCTCAGGCAGTGTAGCGTTGTTTCTCGGTGAGTGAACATATCCTGCCAGGTCATATGAAACATTTCATAAAAATCCATTGTTTTTGCCACTTGTTTATTGTGTGTGACTGCTAAATAAGCCACCATGGGCCCAAAGAAAGCTTCTAGTGCCAGCCCTTTGGTAAAGAATATGAGAAACATGATATAATTCAAGAAAAAGTTTGTAGAAAAATAAGAAAGTGGTGGTAGTAGAGGGTGGCAGTGATGGTGGTAGAGGGTAGTAGTGGTTGTGATGGTGGTAGAGGGTGGTAGTGGTTATGATGGTGGTAAAGGGTGGTAGTGATGGTGGTAGAAGGTAGTAGTGATGGTGATAGAGGGTGGTAGTGGTTTTGATGGTGGTAGAGGGTGCCTTCTTCAGTGATTCTGTGATTCTGCTAACTCCTCCAATGTTATTGGAGTTATATAGGGCTACAGAAAACACCACCGCCTCAGCTGCAGCCTTCACCAACATTATGTACGGCTTATGCTCTCAGTGGCCCTCATATACCCAACAACAACAAAACAACACCAGTCGTGACATACATAATGATTTATTTTATTCATTCTAGAGCATATTCCATGCTTCTATGTTATTAATATTGTTTATTATATCATATTAGTTGAATTATGATAGATAAATAAGTCGTAGAGTTGATAGTAGTGTCATGTTCTCCAACAATAAACACGCCTTCCTCTCCCCTCTGCCTAGTCTGCCATACACCAACAAGTCTTTTCAGTAAAGGTAAGTGTGATGTTAAATGTTCATTTATAAATTTTATTAGTGCTTTATATTTATTTGTCATTCTTTTCTGCATATTTTTTTTTTAACAAGTCGGCTGTCTCCCACCCAGGCAGGGTGACCCAAAAGGAAAGAAAATCCCCAAAAAGAAATACGTACTTTCATCATTATTCAACACTGTCACCTCACTCACACATAATCACTGTTTTTGCAGAGGTGCTCAGAACACAACAGTTTAGAAGCATATACGTATAAAGAGAGACAACATATCCCTGCAAACTGCTAATATCCCGAAACCCCTCCTTTAGAGTGCAGGTATTGTACTTCCCATTTCCAGGACTCAAGTCCGGCTATATAAAAATAACCGGTTTCCCTGAATCCCTTCACTAAATATTACCCTGCTCACACTCCAACAGATCGTCAGGTCCCAAATACCATTCGTTTCCATTTACTCCTATCGAACACGCTCATGCACGCCTGCTGGAAGTCCAAGCCCCTCGCCCACAAAACCTTCCTTACCCCTTCCTTCCAACCTTTTCGAGGACGACCCCTACCCCGCCTTCCTTTCCCTACAGATTTAAATGCTCTCCATGTCATTCTACTTTGATCCATTCTCTCTAAATGACCAACCCACCTCAACAACCCCTCTTCAGCCCTCTGAATAATACTTTTATTAACTCCACACCTTCTCCTAATTTCCACACTCCGAATTTTCTGCATAATATTTACACCACACATTGCCCTTAGACAGGACATCTCCACTGCCTCCAACCGCCTCCTCGCTGCTGCATTCACAACCCAAGCTTCACACCCATATAAGAGTGTTGATACTACTATACTTTCATACATTCCCTTGTTTTCCTCCATAGATAACATTTTTTGTCTCCATATATACCTCAATGCCCCACTCACCTTTTTTTCCTCATCAATTCTGTGATTAACCTCATCCTTCATAAATCCATCCACCGACACGTCAACTCCCAAGTATCTGAAAACATTCACTTCTTCCATACTCCTCCTCCCCAATTTGATATCCAATTTTTCTTTATCTAAATCATTTGATACCCTCATCACCTTACTCTTTTCTATGTCCACTTCAAACTTTCTGCTTTTACACACACACTCCCAAACTCGTCCGCTAACCTTTGCATATTTTCTTTAGAATCTCCCATAAGCACAGTATCATCAGCAAAAAGCAACTGTGTCAATTGCCATTTTGTATTTGATTCCCCATAATTTAATCCCACCCCTCTCCTGAACACCCTAGCATTTACTTCTTTTACAACCCCATCTATAAATATATTAAACAACCATGGTGACATTACACATCCCTGTCTAAGACCTACTTTTACCAGGAAGTAGTCTCCCTCTCTTCTACACACCCTAACCTGAGCCTCACTATTCTCATAAAAACTCTTTACAGCATTTAGTAAGTTACCACCTATTCCATATACTTGCAACATCTGCCACATTGCTCCCCTATCCACTCGATTATATGCCTTTTCTAAATCCATAAATGCAATAAAAACTTCCCTACCTTTATCTAAATACTGTTCACATATATGCTTCAATGTGAACACTTGATCTACACATCCCCTACCCACTCTGAAACCTCCTTGCTCATCTGCAATCATACATTCTGTCTTACCTCTAATTCTTTCAATTGTATAACCTTACAGTACACTTTTCCTGGTATACTCAGTAAACTTATTCCTCTATAATTTTTACAATCCCTTTTGTCCCCCTTCCCTTTATATAAAGGGACTATACATGTGCTCTGCCAATCCCTAGGTACCTTCCCCTCTTTCACACATTTATTAAACAAAAATACCAACCACTCAACACTATATCCCCCCCCTGCTTTTAACATTTCTGTCATGATCCCGTGAGTTCCAGCTGCTTTACCCCCTTTCATTCTACGTAATGCCTCATGCACCTCCCTCACACTCACATCCTGTTCTTCTTCACCCCTAAAAGATCGTATACCTCCCTGGCCAGTGCATGAAATTACCGCTTCCCTTTCTTCATTGACATTTAAAAGTTCCTCAAAATATTCTCGCCATCTACCCAAAACCTCCATCTCCCCATCTACTAACTCCCCTACTCTGTTTTTAACTGACAAATCCATTCGTTCTCTTGGCTTTCTTAACTTAACTCACTCCAAAATTTTTTCTTATGTTCATTAAAATTTCTTGACAGTGCCTCTCCCACTCTTTCATCTGCTCTCCTTTTGCACACTCTCACCACTCTCTTTACCTTTCTTTTACTCTCCATATACTCTACTCTTCTTATAATGCTTCTGCTTTGTAAAAACCTCTCATAAGCTAACTTTTTCTCTTTTATCACACCCTTTACTTCATCATTCCACCAATCACTCCTCTTTCCTCCTGCACCCACCCTCCTATAACCACAAACTTCTGCCCCACATTCTAATACTGCATTTTTAAAACTATTCCAACCCTCTACAACCCCCCCCCCCCCACTACTCATACTTGCACCAGCCCACCTTTCTGCCAATAGTTGCTTATATCTCGCTCGAACTTCCTCCTCCCTTAGTTTATACACTCTTACCTCCCTCTTGCTTGTTGTTGCCATTTTTCTCTTTTCCCATCTACCTCTTATTCTAACTGTAGCTACAACTAAATAATGATCCGATATATCAGTTGCCCCTCTATAAACATGTACATCCAGGAACCTACCCATCAACCTTTTATCCACCAATGCATAATCTAACAAACTACAGTGGTCCCTCAACTAACAATGGCATCACCTAATGTTAAATCCAGCTAACGATACATTTTAACACAAACATTTTGCCTCGGCTAATGCTAAAAACTCGCCTAACAATATTTGGTCTCAGGTACCAATTAATATCGTTAGGTGAGGGTCCACTGTACTTTCATTACATTGTATATTTATTTATCCTCTTCTTCATAAAATATGTTTTACTTATTACCAAACTTCTTCCTACACATAGCTCAATTAAAGGCTCCCCATTTTCATTTACCCCTGGCACCCCAAATTTACCTACTACTACCTCCACAACATTTTTGCACACTTTAGCATTGAAATCTCCAACCACCATTACTCTCACACTTGGTTCAAAACTCCCCATGCATTCACTCAACATTTCCCAAAATCTCTCTCTCTCCTCTACACTTCTCTCTTCTCCAGGTGCATATACGCTTACTATAACCCACTTTTCACATCCGACCTTTATTTTACTCCACATAATCCTTGAATTAATACATTTATAGTCCCTCTTTTCCTGCCATAACTTATCCTTCAACATTATTACTACTCCTTCTTTAGCTCTAACCCTATTTGAAACCCCTGACCTAATCCCATTTATTCCTCTCCACTGAAATTCTCGCACCCTCTTCAGCTTTGTTTCACTTAAAGCCAGGACATCCAGCTTCTTCTCATTCATAACATCCACAATCATCTCTTTCTTATCATTTGCACAACATCCACGCACATTCAGACTTCCAGCTTTAACAATTTTCTTCTTATTCTTTTTAGTAATTTTTACAGGAAAAGGGGTTACTAGCCATTGTTCCCGGCATTTTAGTTGACTTTTAGAACACGCATGGCTACAGAGGAAAGATTCTTATTCCACTTCCCCATGGATATAAAAGGAAAAGTAATAAGACCAAGAACTATTAAGATAAAATCAAAGAAAACTCAGATGAGTGTGTATTAAATAAACATGTACATGTATGTGTAGTGTGATCTAAGTGTAAGTAGAAGTAGCAAGACGTACCTGTAATCTTGCATATTTATGAGACAGACAAAAGGCACCAGCAATCCTACCATCATGTAAAACAATTACAGGCTTTCGTTTCACACTCACTTGGCAGGATGGTAGTACCTCCCTGGGTGGTTGCTGTCTACCAACCTACTACATGTAAATCTACATGTAAACTAGAGGAGTGACCCCTGATGAGGACTTGGTACCTCGAGTCTTATGGAGGGGAATTCCCCTTCCAAACAATAACCTCTCTTCCCTCTCCCTCCCTGTCTTCCATCCATCAGCAACAGCCTTCAGTAATGGTAAGTATCATGTGTAATGTTTATTCTTTTGTGCATGTAAATCTATCATTGAGGTAAAAAAAACTTTTTTCTTGATACTTCTGGGTGTATGGAACGGATTAATTCCATTTCCATTATTCCTTGTAGGGAAAATGGTTTCGGTTTTGGCTGATGCCTCTGGAGCGGATTAAACACGAAAACCAAGGGGCCATTGTACTGTATTATGCAGGTGTTGATGGGGGAGGTGAGAGTAGCTCATAATATTGTGTTTATGGGGGAGGTGAAAGTAGCTCATAATATTGTGTTTATGGGGAGGTGTTCTGAAGTTTGCTCCAAACTTCAGAACACATGTGACTTGACCTGATTCCTCATTTTTTCTTCTTCTCCCTCTCCCCCTTTCCTCTCTCCTTTTTTGTCTTTCTTCTGTCACATGTTTCTGTTCCTTCATTATTTATTTCATCACTTCCCCTTCCCCCCACCTCTGTGCACTTGCTCTCCCTCTATGGGCACCTAGCTCCCTTGCATTGCTCCCCTTTCTTTATTTGACTGGCTCCTCCTCCTTAGTTCTCCACTGCTGCTGCTGCTGCTGCTGCTGCTGCTGCTGCTGCTGCTGCTGCTGCTGCTGCTGCTGCTGCTGCTGCTGCTGCTGCGCTGCGCCGCCGCGCCGCGCCGCCGCCGCCGCCGCCGCGCCGCCGCCGCCGCCGCCGCCGCCGCCGCCGCCGCCGCCGCCGCCGCCGCCGCCGCCGCCGCCGCCGCCGCCGCCGCCGCGCCGCCCCCCGCCGCCGCCGCCGCCGCCGCCGCCGCCGCCGCCGCCGCCGCCGCCGCCGCCGCCCGCCGCCGCCGCCGCCGCCGCCGCCGCGCCGCCGCCGCCGCCGCCCCGCCGCCGCCTCCGCCCCGCCTCCGCCTCCTCCTCCTCCTCCTCCTCCCCTCCTCCTCCTCCTCCTCCTCCTCCCCCTCCTCCTCTCCCCCCCCCCCCCCCGCTGCCGCCCTATATAGCCGTCCTGCTCCACTTCTGGCTAGTGTGACTTAGTAAATGGTCCAAGTCGGACCGATACGATCGTTGTAAGCTCCTCTCTTCTATGTGCCGGTTATTTGGGTATGATAAACTGTTGATACTTTTATGTCCCACAGTATTACAGTGGATAATCTTTTGTGATTCAGGTTCACCCAAGACATTGCAGCAGCTGTGTGCATTGGCAGTACGACAAGCTGTTGGGGAAGTTAGAGGCTGGAATCAGCTACCATCATCTCTCAATCAGCTAAAACTCATGAATGCACCACTTCCTCCTATAATTATGAGCCTCTTGCAGTTTACACAGGTGTGATGTTAATTACTTAGAGGTTATAATAAAATTAATTTGTTTACTGTTATGCATTTTATTGTTTGCTTTTATTGTTGATATTTTTTTTTTCAACAAGTCGGCCGTCTCCCACCGAGGCAGGGTGACCCAAAAAAGAAAGAAAATCCCCAAAAAGAAAATACTTTCATCATCATTCAACACTTTCACCACACTCGCACATTATCACTGTTTTTGCAGAGGTGCTCAGGATACAACAGTTTAGAAGCATACACATATAAAGATACACAACATATCCCTCCAAACTGCCAATATCTCAAACCCCTCCTTTAAAGTGCAGGCATTGTACTTCCAATTTCCAGGACTCAAGTCCGACTATATGAAAATAACCGGTTTCCCTGAATCCCTTCACTAAATATTACCCTGCTCACACTCCAACAGATCGTCAGGTCCCAAGTATCATTCGTCTCCATTCACTCCTATCTAACACGCTCACGCACGCTTGCTGGAAGTCCAAGCCCCTTACCCACAAAACCTCCTTTACCCCCTCTCTCCAACCCTTTCGAGGACGACCCCTACCCCGCCTTCCTTCCCCTATAGATTTATATGCTTTCCATGTCATTCTACTTTGATTCATTCTCTCTAAATGACCAAACCACCTCAACAACCCCTCTTCTGCCCTCTGACTAATGCTTTTATTAACTCCACACCTTCTCCTAATTTCCACACTCCAAATTTTCTGCATAATATTTACACCACACATTGCTCTTAGACAGGACGTCTCCACTGCCTCCAACCGTCTCCTCGCTGCTGCATTTACCACCCAAGCTTCACATCCATATAAGAGTGTTGGTACTACTATACTTTCATACATTCCCTTCTTTGCCTCCATAGATAACGTTTTTTGACTCCACGTATACCTCAATGCACCACTCGCCTTTTTTCCCTCATCAGTTCTATGATTAACCTCATCCTTCATAAATCCATCCGCCGACACGTCAACTCCCAAGTATCTGAAAACATTCACTTCTTCCATACTCCTCCTCCCCAATTTGATATCCAATTTTTCTTTATCTAAATCATTTGACACCCTCATCACCTTACTCTTTTCTATGTTCACTTTCAACTTTCTACCTTTACACACATTCCCAAACTCATCCACTAACCTTTATATATTTCTTTCAACACACCGGCCGTATCCCACCGAGGCAGGGTGGCCCAAAAGGAAAAACGAAAGTTTCTCCTTTTACATTTAGTAATATATACAGGAGGAAAGGTTACTAGCCCCTTGCTCCCGGCATTTTAGTTGCCTTCTACAACACGCATGGCTTACGGAGGAAGAATTCTGTTCCACTTCCCCATGGAGGTAAGAGAAAATAAACAACAAGAACAAGAGCTAGTAAGAAAATATTAGAAAACCCAGAGGGGTGTGTATATATATGCTTGTACATGTATGTGTAGTGTGACCTAAGTGTAAGTAGAAGTAGCAAGACATACCTGAAATCTTGCATGTTTATGAGACAGAAAAATGGACACCAGCAATCCTACCATCATGTAAAACAATTACAGGCTTCCGTCTTATGTAAATAAAACTGACCAATTAGCAAGAACTCATTTAAAATTAAGTCCTTTCTGAAATTTTCTCTTATACTTTTTAAGATATATTTTTTTCATTAATGTTAATGTAAAAAATTTTAATTTTGCACCAAAAGAATATTAGAAAACTTACATAACCTTATTATAACAAGCACAATTTATTTTAGCCTAACCCAACTAAATATATTTTAAATACGTTTACAATAATTTAGTACTAAACAAACACAATCAAATATATTTTTTTCGTTAGGTTCAGAATGATTTTGGCGAAATTATTGCATACACAAATTTTCGCTTGTCCTATATGGGAAGATGAGCGTTGCTATTTAAGCCAAGATCGCAAGTTCTGCCTATTCAGCACGACATATATATATATACCTATATATATATAAGGATTATGTGGAGTAAAATAAAGATTGGATGTGAAAAGTGGGTTATAGTAAGTGTGTATGCACCTGGAGAAGAGAGAAGTGTAGAGGAGAGAGAGAGATTCTGGGAAATGTTGAGTGAATGCATGGGGAGTTTTGAATCAAGTGTGAGAGTAATGGTGGTTGGGGATTTCAATGCTAAAGTGGGTAAAAATGTTATGGAGGGAGTAGTAGGTAAATTTGGGGTGCCAGGGGTAAATGTAAATGGGGAGCCTTTAATTGAGCTATGTGTAGAAAGAAATTTGGTAATAAGTAATACATATTTTATGAAAAAGAGGATAAATAAATATACAAGGTATGATGTAGCACGTAATGAAAGTATGACTCACCAACTCGTAATGACACGATTGCAAACAAACCATACCCCTGCCGGGATTGAACCCGCGGTCATAGAGTCTCAAAACTCCAGCCCGTCGCGTTAGCCACTAGACCAGCTAGCCACAATAAGATTCGTCCAACTAGGTATATTTCTACACGATAGGAAGGTTAGCACAGGCACCACTGTGATGGACTGGAGTTTTGAGACTCTATGACCGCGGGTTCAATCCCGGCCGGGGTATGGTAATGAAAGTAGTTTGTTAGATTATGTATTGGTGGATAAAAGGTTGATGGGTAGGCTCCAGGATGTACATGTTTATAGAGGGGCAACTGATATATCGGATCATTATTTAGTTGTAGCTACAGTTAGAGTAAGAGGTAGATGGGAAAAGAGGAAGGTGGCAACAACAAGTAAGAGGGAGGTGAAAGTGTATAAACTAAGGGAGGAGGAAGTTCGGGTGAGATATAAGCGACTATTGGCAGAAAGGTGGGCTAGTGCAAAGATGAGTAGTGGGGGGTTGAAGAGGTTTGGAATAGTTTTAAAAATGCAGTATTAGAATGTGGGGCAGAAGTTTGTGGTTATAGGAGGGTGGGGGCAGGGAAAAGAGGAGTGACTGGTGGAATGATGAAGTAAAGGGTGTGATAAAAGAGAAAAAGTAGCTTACGAGAGGTTTTTACAAAGCAGAAGTGTTATAAGAAGAGCAGAGTATATGGAGAGTAAAGGAAAGGTGAAGAGAGTGGTGAGAGAGTGCAAAAGGAGAGCAGATGATAGAGTGGGAGAGGCACTGTCAAGAAAATTTTTAATGAAAATAAGAAAAATTTTTGGAGTGAGTTAAACAAGTTAAGAAAGCCTAGGGAAAGTATGGATTTGTCAGTTAAAAACAGAGTAGGGGAGTTAGTAGATGGGGAAAGGGAGGTATTAGGTAGATGGCAAAAATATTTTGAGGAACTTTTAAATGTTGAGGAGAAAGGGAGGCGGTAATTTCATGCACTGGCCAGGGAGGTTATACCATCTTTTAGGAGTGAAGAAGAGCAGAATGTAAGTGTGGTGTAGGTACGTGAGGCATTACGTAGAATGAAAGGGGGTAAAGCAGCTGGAACTGATGGGATCATGACAGAAATGTTAAAAGCAGGGGGGGATATAGTGTTGGAGTGGTTGGTACTTTTGTTTAATAAATGTATGAAAGAGGGGAAGGTACCTAGGGATTGGCAGAGAAGCATGTATAGTCCCTTTATATAAAGGGAAAGGGGACAAAAGAGATTGTAAAAATTATAGAGGAATAAGTTTACTGAGTATACCAGGAAAAGTGTACGGTAGGGTTATAATTGAAAGATTAGAGGTAAGACAGAATGTAGGATTGCGGATGAGCAGGGAGGCTTCAGGTGGGTAGGGGATGTGTAGATAAGTGTTTAAAATTGAAAAATTATGTGAACATTTATTTAGAAAAAAGGGGGGGAAAGTTTTTATTGCTTTTATGGATTTAGAAAAGGCATTGATGGGAGTGGATAGGGGAAATGGGGCAGATGTTGCAAGTTTTAGGGAAAGGTTGTAAGTTACAAAAGGGTTTTTAAGATTTTTTTATGGGTAGTGGGGGTCAGGTTAGGGTGTTTTAAAAAGGAGGGGGGAGAATATTTCCCGGGTTAAAAGTAGGTCTTGACAGGGTGTGAAAGTCCCCATGGTTGTTTAATATATGTATGATGGGGTTTTTTTTAAAAAAATTTAAATTTTTTTAAGGGTGTTCGGTAGAGGGGGGGGTTAAAAGTTATGGGGAATAAAAATTCAAAATGGGAATTGACACATTTATTTTTTGCTGAGGATACTGTGCTTAGGGGAAAGATTTTAAAGAAAATTGAAAAGGGTTTAGGGGGATGGTTTGGAATGTGTGTAAAGGTAAAATTTGGGGGGGGAAAGGAAATAAAAAAGGGGTGGGTGTTGGGGGTTTTTTCAAATGATTTAGAAAAGAAAATTTGGGGTAAAATTGGGGGGGGGGAGTAGGGAAAAGAAGTAAATGTTTTCAGATACTTGGGGGGTTGACTTGTCGGGGATGGATTTTGAAGGATGGGTTAATTTTGAATTGAGGGGGGGGAAAAAATGTGAGTGGGCTTTTGAGGTATAGGGTGGAGTAAAAAACGTTATTTTAAGGGAGGCAAAGAAGGAATGTATGAAATTTATAGTAGTACCAAACTTTATATGGTTTGGGGAAGTTGGGGGGTAAATGCAGCAGCGAGGGGGGGTTTGGGAAAGGCAGGGGAGATGCCCTTTTCTAAGGGAAATGTGGGGTTTGTAAAAAATTATGCAAAAAAATTCGGAGTGGGGAAATTTAGGGAAGGGGGTGGATTTAAAATAAAAGCAAGTCAGGGGGCGAAGAGGGGTTGTTAAAGGGGGTTTTTGGTTTCATTTAGAGAGAATGGAAAAAAAGTAAAGGGACAGGGAAAAAGCAAAAAATCTATGGGGGGAAGGGGAAGGAGGGGTGGGGGTCTTCCTCAAAAGGGGGTTTAAGGGAAGGGGGGGTTTAAAGGAGGTTTTGTGGGCGGGGGGCTTGGATTTCCCCAAGGCAAGCGGCATGAGGTTTTAAGATGGGAGTAAATGGAGACAATTTTATTGGGCCTGACGTTCTGTTGGAGTGTGAGCAGGGTAAATTTGGTGAAGGGATTCGGGGAAAACTGGTTATTTTCCCC